TTTTCAAGAAATATATAAAAATCAAGGAAAAGGAACATTACATAAAAAAAGAAAAAAAGTAGAGTATAAATTAGCTATCTTAGGAGAAACTGTTGATTCAAGGTATCTTCCAACAGGATATAGCACCAGCAAACCCCCATCACAAGATACTTGTGATCATTGTAATAAAAAACTTAATAATGATGAAGTATTAATGTGTGGTCATGGTTACCACTATGAATGTTATCAGATTCTTGAGTTTGGGTGTTGTTACTGTGAAAAATATTACAAGTGTGGAATTTATAGCAATGTAAAATCATTTTTAGAAAGGTTAGAAAAGGGTTCCATCTTACTCCTGAAGAAAATGAAGGTGAAGAGGTTTTAGTTGAAGAGAATGAGGTAATAGAAGAGGTAGAAATGAATAGAAGTCAAGAAGCACATAATAAACTTTTAGAAGCACTTAACTGCATTAACACTTGGTAATATTGTATAATTATTTGAAAGGTTCGAAATTAATTAAAAAATTTAATAATAATATAATAATAACAACATAATAACATTACTTGTATTAGAGTAGTCTTTTTTAATATACTATTATAAAAATACCCTTCTAAGTTAACTTTCCCAAAAATTGGATCTTATTGGATCTAAATAAAGGGAACGAAGAAATAGCTTCGAAGAATATAATTAATTAGTCGTTTTTTGTATGCGCGACGATTTTTCAATCGTAAATATTTGTGTAACCCGATGATCAAAAATCTAGACTTTCCCTATGCTTTTTCGGGTTATATAAAACATATAAAGAAATTTCTTAATTACCATTTTCATTCATTTGCGAATTAGAAATATTAATAATGTCTTCGCTTCGTAATGCGATCCCACAACGTAACCATAAAGAGCGAGCTCAACCACGCTCTAGAGCAAAATATGGACTGCTCGAAAAACATAAAGATTATGTGCTTCGAGCAAGAGATTATCATTCTAAACAAGGAAGATTAAAGAAAATGCGAGAAAATGCATATTTTAGAAATCCAGATGAATTTTATTTTAAAATGATTAATAGTAAAACAAAGGTACGGTGATTTTTTAAATATTGACTTACAAAATATATATTAGATTTTTAATTATTTGTTTCTTTGAAGGAAGGTGTACATGTAGTAGAACGTAATTCGGTGTTTTCGGGAGATGTTATGAAAATTTTGAAATCCCAAGATTTGAATTATGTGAAAATTCAACATGATCAGGGGGAAAAAAAAATCGAAAAATTAAGAAATGAATTACATTTTATTGATCATACAATTGCAATTCAAGATAAAATTGGAGTTGAGAATGAAACAAGAGAAAAAAAATACAAATCTTCACGATCACATCATACTATATTTGTTGAAACAAAAGAAGCAGCAAAAAAATTCGATGCTGCTAAGTATTTTGATACATTGCCTGAATTAATCAATCGAAAGTTTAATAGACCGCGAATTGAAACATTAGAGAAAGAAGTTATTACGGCGGCTGACGACGAAAGGTTACTCCAAGTTAGACTTCAAATTTATTATTTTATTTTTTATTTTTTTCTTAAATAAAATTTCAAGAATTTATTTCATTTTTTTTTTTTTCAATATTTCAACACATTTATTCAGAAATTACATAAACAACGCATATCTAAACATAAGGAACTTAAAGTTCGGTTGGAAAGACAAAACCAATTGAAAAAAGTTGAACAAGAATTAAAAACACAAAAAAATTTAATGGTATGCACATAATTTCATCTAAAGATTTAGATATTTTTCATATTTTTATTCGATTTTGTCAAATATCGCAAAATTACAGGGTAAAGGTCGTCGAAAGAAAGTTGGTGTTGACAATAATGGATTGCCAATATATAAATGGAAAAATGAACGAAAAAAATAAGTACATGATAAAAGAATTTCATAAAAAAAAAAAATGTAATTATCAAACTACAATTTTCAGCGCAAGAAATTTAACTTCCACGATAAGTTGTATATGAAAATGGACTAATTAATAGAGGAATATGATAATGTTGTTCTGTTTCGGTTATCTGAAAAACAACCTTCAAATTTATTTGGTTTGGTTTATTTAATTTAATATGATTTGACATATTTGATATATTTGATATATTGATATATATGATATATATTTGAAATATTTGATATTAGTAATACGTCAAGAATGGAATTGATATAAATATAATATAATATACCTGAACATAAGGATAAAAAGATTTTTGATTTAATTTATTAAAATAAGGAGCGGTATAAAAAGTTATGCGATAAATTGCCTTTGCTTTATCATCGTTATCATAATGATATAATGGAATTTTATAATCAGAAGGAACTAATAATGGACACCTTCCGTCTTCATTAGTGCATCTAATTTTAAATAAGTTAGTTTAAATTTAATTTCAATCGGAATTTTATCCAAATAAACAGTAAATTGACTTTACGTACGCCCGATTGACAGTGGTCCATCTTTCCGCTTCACCTAGAACACTCGGTACAAAATGTTCTAATAGAACTTCTATATTATTACCTGGAAAACCGAGTGAAGTGTCAAGTACATGACAAGTTATTTGGCCTCGTTCTGACATATTTTCAAAGAATACAAAATAAATAAAAAAAAAATAATAATATATGATTCCATATATACATGTATCACAGATCACATGAGTACTAATACATATTTATATTGGTCATTAAATCAGTTAAAATATAAAGTTTGAGATGTGTTAAACCTTATTATTACTTCCTTGATATATTTATTGTTTATTATTGTTACATATAAACAAACTGTTGAACAACAAGTTATTAACCTGTTTTTTCTATAAATGGGATTGGTCAAAGAGTATATCTTACTATAAAAGGTTTATCAAAGATTATCAATTAAACAATTAAAAATATTCGTGTAATCTAAATACTTGATTTAGTAAAGTTTAACTAATTATTATGATATAATTACGCATGTTTCCATATTTCCATGTTTCCATATTTCTTATTGAATAAATTTGGTAAAACTTATAAAAAAATTTTTCGAAACCCATCATTTTTATCTTTGTATAAAAATGTCCTTATTACCCTCAAACAGTTATAACACTTTTCTCGCATACTTTCTTAGAAAAGTTCTACTATTTCGTTTTTATTTAGAGATATCTCTATTAATACTATTAATAAATACTTTAATAACTACAATAGTACTCTAGAAATGTCTGTAAAATCTTCTGAAGTTCAATTACTTGCTTCTTCTATGCCTTCTCTCAAGACTACTAAAGCAAATAGGTTTAGACGTAAATATCATTTCAATTACTAGAATTTAAACTAAAGTTTTTGTAAATGAGTAACTACTTTTCCTTTTGTACTTCTACTTTGTTGCTTACCAACAATTTCTTCCTTTTCCCAGATGTCATTGGTATTTGCGCCATGGACAACAAGGCGCGTTCAAAACCTATGATGAACATACTAAACCGACTACACGCTTACGACGAATTCGAAACTGTGATATTTGGTGACAAAGTTATTTTAGATGAAGGTTTGTTAAAGAGACCATTGAGCTAAAAATTTGGTTTCTTATTACTTCTAAATTGTTACTTTAAACATTAATTCATTTTATATTATTCTATTTTTTTCATTTATCCCATTTACATTATTCCATTGACGTTATTCCATTTATTTCTAGATGTCGAAAATTGGCCTATTTGCGATATCTTTATATCATTCTTTTCCATTGGGTTTCCCTTAAACAAAGCTATCGAATATGTCAAATTACGAAAGCCATTCTGCGTGAACGATTTACCTATGCAGAAAATTCTGTGGGACAGACGTTTAGTAATGAAAATATTAGATATCCTTGGTGTGCAAACCCCAAAACGTTTAATTGCTAGTAGAGATGGAGGATCAAAAATAGATTCAGATGTAATGTCTCAAGTGTTAAAAAATGTTGACGCTACACTTGATACACTTGATCAAATTCTAGTTCCTCCTGCTAAAGTTGAAATGATTGACATTGATACTATTAGTGTTGACAATCAAATATTACGAAAACCTTTTGTCGAAAAACCCATAAGTGGTGAAGACCACAATATCCATATATATTATTCTTCTGAAATGGGCGGTGGTGGTCGCCGTTTATTTCGAAAGGTTTTCTTTTTTGTCATTTCATTTTATTGCTTGCAATAATATATATATATATTTTCATTGTAATCTGTTTTTCTAACAATTTTTTACTTTATTTTTAGGTGGCTAATAAGTCCAGTGAATTTGATCCTTCGCTATCTGAACCTCGCACTAACGGTTCTTACATATATGAACAATTTATGGATGCCGATAATGCAGAGGATGTAAAGGTTTATACAATCGGGCCTACTTATGCTCACGCTGAAACTAGAAAATCACCTGTAGTGGATGGTCTTGTAAAACGTAACACAAATGGAAAAGAAGTTCGTTATGTTACCACACTGACGCCAAAAGAAAAAAAGATTGCAGCAGATATATCTCGCGTTTTCGACCAAACAGTGTGTGGATTTGATTTGCTTAGAGTACATGGACAATCATATGTTATAGATGTAAATGGTTGGTCTTTCGTAAAGGGCAATGACGATTATTATAATAATTGTGCACGCATATTACGAAATATGTTCTTGAATGCTGTCCGTAAACGTAAACTCAGCTGTGACACAATACCGAAAGAACTTCGATTCGAAATTTCATGGCGTCTTAAATCCTTTATATCAGTATTTCGACATGCTGATCGTACGCCGAAACAAAAAATTAAATTCAATTTTCGAAGTGAACCATTTATAGAGTTATTAAATGGTTCGGATGAAGAAGTTATATTGAGAAAAGAATATGAATTAAAAAGAGTATCAGATGCGGCAAATAAAGCCATACAATTACAATGTGAAGATTTAACAAAATTGGAACAACTTAAACTAGTATTACAAATGAAGGGAGAATTACCTGGAACCAAAGTACAAATAAAACCTACGTATGACAAATCTACGGGTGCATTTACAAAACTTCAACTCATTGTTAAATGGGGTGGTGAGGTAACTATTATAGATATTATTTAGAAGATGGGATGATTTGAAATATTATTTAGATGTTATTTTTGTTATAATTAACAAAAATTTAATAAATTCATTCAATTTATTCAATTTTATATTTTTTTTTTTATAAATGTACAAATTCATTTAATTTAATTTTGTATATAATTTTATATATACATTTATAGTTTACACATTCAGCCCGATATCAATCACGAGAGTTAGGTGAAAATCTACGGAAAGATTTATTAATTTTAAATAGAAACGTCTTTAATGATGTTAAAATATACACGAGTTCAGAACGGCGAGTTAGTACAACTGGTAAGATATCAAATTAAAAAAAAATAATAATAAACATTTTTTTATTTTCCTTAAATATATAGAGTAATTTAATGATTTTCAATAGAAATTTCCACATATCATTTATCATCAAAAGATCCCATGAAATCTTGAACAAAAATCAATTCCAAAGATTTAATATATATATAAAAAGTATAGTTAGAAATTTTTTAGTTTAAATAGTTTAAATAGATTAATTCATTCAATAACAATTACATCAATTACATCCCAAACAAATCCAAATAAAAAATCAATAAATAAATTAGCATTTAACACACATTTTTTATTTTATATTCTTTTAAATTTTAACATTTTTTACATATATTTAATATATTTTATATATAAATATATATTTAAATATATGATTATATTTATTTATATATACTGTATATTTTATATAAATAGATATATATATATAGGTTTATATATATTATATTATATAATTTACATATATTAATTATAAAATCTAACAATTTACTATTTATCATTTATTTAAAAATAGCTGAAATATTTACCAAAACCTTTTTGGACATAAATGATGTTCCTGAAAATATTATTGAAACTCGAAAAGAAATGTTGGATGATAGTAATGCAGCTAAAGAACAAATGGACATAGTAAAAAGTCAATTACGTAACTTATTGAAATCTAGAGATACAAATAAAATGGACAACATAACATGGTCAAAGGATAAACCTGAAATATGCATTATTATTCAACAAGTTATAAAGATTATGAAAAAACTTCAAAAAATAATGAGAGAAAATTTTGAAAAAATGGAATATGAAAATATTCAATCACGCTGGTGTTGTTCAGAAAATCCCATACTTTTTCGAGAACGTTGGGAAAAATTATTTAGAGATTTTTGTAATGTGGATCTTTTAAAATTTGATTCAAGTAAAGTATCAGAACTTTATGATTCTCTTAAATATGATGCATTACATAATCGACAATTCTTGGAGATAATTTTTTTAGATCCAAATCAAGAAGATCAGAATAATAATAATGGTATATTATTAATAAAAGAATTATATCAAGGAGCCAAAATTTTATTTGATTTTGTAGCACCACAAGAGTATGGTATTGATAATAAAGAAAAACTTCAAATTGGATTATTAACTTCAAATTTATTGTTACAAGATATAATAAAAAATTTAGAAGTAAAAAATTTATTTTTTTATTTATTATCTAAAAATTTATTATTTAATAATTTATTATTAATTATAATTTAATTTTTAGGAATCAAAATCTAGTTTAACTCCATGTACAAGATTATATTTTACCAAAGGTAAATTTTTAATATCATATTTCTTATAATATGACATTATATATTATTTTTTAAAATTTACTAAAACAATAATTTTTATATTAATACAGAATCACATGTACATACTTTATTAAATGTGGTATTCTTATCAGATCTTCCTATAAAAATATTCAAGTATCAAATACCGGAATTAGATTGTAAAAATAATTTAATATTTAGTAACATTTGATTATTATTATTTATTTTTTTTTTTATAATTTAAAATATTTATTTATTATTGAAGATCTCACTCAGATTACATTTGAACTTTATGAACGACATCGTGGTTTAAATGGAGATAAAGAATATTCATTGCGTATAGCATTTAGTCCAGGAGCACATGATCCAAATATTTTAGATTTGCAACTTGACGCACGACATTGTTTAAATGTTGCACCAAGAATGTAAGTTAATTTAAATATTAATTAATTAATTAATTGTCAAAATTCTAAATTATATATTTAAATATCAATTAATTAGTTAAATTATATATTTTATTTTCATATAAATATATATTTATATTATATATTTAGAAATCTTACTGATCATTTGCCTCTTGATCTAGCACTTTCTTATTATAAAAATAAAATATATAATATATATAATTCTCAAGTTGAAGGAAATGATATAATCAATAATACACCCACATTTTCAACTTTAGATGTGTTTCAAATAAGTAAATCATTTTAAATAATTTTATTATTTTTATTATAATTTATTATTAAAAATATTTATTATTATTTATTTATTATTTAATTTTAAAAAATTGAATTTGACAAATTTCTTATTTAAAATATCAAATTATTTTATATATTTTAAAAAAAATATTTTTTGTTATATATTAATTAGTACTTATAAAAATTTTAAAATATATCTAAGTTATCTTTAATTAAAATATTAAAAAAGAATTTTAATTTTCAAATTTTTTATTATTATTTTTTTTATTATTTTAATAAAATTTTGAAGTTAATTAATTAAAAAAAAAAGAAATACTTTTATATAATATAAATATATAACTTATTCTGATAATTATTAAAAACATAAAATTCATATTACATCAATAAATTTTTTTAACCATTAATCAATATTGATTAATAATTATATTGTTGATTGAAATTCATCTTCAAAGGAATTTGATAAACTAGTAACTAAAAACAAGAAAAATATGTATGACTAAAATTAAATACTATATTAAATATACTATTGTTAAATAGGTTATTATAAAGAAATATAAATAAGAAAATTTTATAATTATGAATTTATTCAAAAGAAGTTAAAGGGTAAAATTTTTATAAGGGTATGTATCACTAAAATAATATTTCACTAAGAAGAGTTATTAAAACAAAAACTATAACAAATACTAGTTATAAAGGAAAAAGTAATTCATTAAGAATTATAATAAAGTTTTATACAGAAATTATACAAAAGGTAAATTTACTAAGAATTTAAAAATATCATCAAAACTAAGAAATAATTTATATAGAATTATTATAAATTACAAAGAAGTTTATTAATTTTAGTTGAAAAATTGAGAACTAAGAGAAAAGGAATTCAATCCTTTATATACATATTTGAAGTTATAATAGATTGTGATGTAAACTATACTAATGTATATATTATTAACTTAAAAATCCTATATACTGTACATTAGATATCAAATAAGTATAATATTCATTTTTAATATTGAACATATATCAGATACCCAATAAATATAAAAAATATATTTTATATATATTAGGTATCTGATATATGCTTAATATTAGAAATAAATATTATACTTATCTGATATTCATATATATAGAATTTTTAAATTTCAATTACATTATTTATTACACTTTTGATTATACTATTGATTATGCTATAAACTATATTATCAATTACATTGAAGATTTATATTAATTTCTAACTGATTTACATTAATAATTATATTAATATATCATCAGTAATTATATTAATTTGAAAACCTTCGAAATTATATTGTAATGTTAGATTTTGAAGATTATCAATTGTGTCGCAACCCTTCAAAATCAAAATTTAACAGTTAAATTTCAATATATATTATTTCATTATCAAAAACCTTTGAAGTTTAATGTTATATTTTTTAATGATAATGCAAACTTTCAAAATTCAACAGCTAGTATTTTAATATATTTTGTTTCAGGTTTATCATTTTCAGATTACTTCGAATTTAATTGTTTTCATTGTAATTCAATATATATTGTGAAAAATTTCATTTTATTACTTTTTTGAATTTTTACATAATTTATTATTAATTTTATTATTAAAAGATGATAATAAATATTTTATAATATTTTTTTTATACATTTTCATACATCAGAAAATTTTTGAGGGCAAATATATCCAGATAAATTTTATAATATACGAATATATATAGATATATTTGGAATATGCGAATTAATGCATAGGTGGTCGAATATATCTGAATATATATTTGCGAATTTATTCGGATAAATTTATATGCAAATATATGCGGATATATACGGATATATCCAGATAAATTCGCGTGAATATATTTGGATAAATTTGTATATCAGATAAATATGGTGTGCTAAACAGGACAAAAGTCCAAGTTAAATCGCATATGTATATGTGAAATAACTCGGATGTATTGGTGATTTTTCAAAGTTATAAAAAATTTTATTACAGATAATAAAATTGTTATCACGGATAATAAATTTATCACAGATAATTAATTATCACAAATAATAGTAATTTTATTTTAGATAATGACATCATATCACAGATAATTTAATTTGTATCTTGGATAATAGCAATTTTATCACGGATAATAACATCATATCGTAGATAATTAATTTTGTATTGCAGATAAATTAATTTGTATCACAGATAAATCAATTTTATCACAAATAATATTAATTTATCACAGATAATATTAATTTATCACAGATAATTTGTATCGCAGATAATCAATTTTTTTTTTTATTTAATAAAAAATAAAATAAAACTTGACCTTGCGATTAAGAGATATTTTATTTTTCTTTATTTTTATTTTTTTTTAAATAATTAAAAAACCTATATTACCTTATCCCTTGTCTTAATAATACACTCTCTTTTCTTCTTTTCTGGTTCGTGACGATACCGTAAAGAGAAATTAGCTTCAAAATGAGTTTGATGAGTTTTTCTAATTTTTTTTTATTTTATTTTATTTTTTTATATTTTTTATATTTTTTTTTAGATAATTAAAAAAAACATATACTTACTTTATCCCTTGCTTTAATAATACACTTTCCTTTCTTCTTTTCTGGTTTGTGAAAACACCATGAGATTGAAATCGACTTCGAAATAGGTGTGAGTGGACATTTGATAAGTTTTTTTATTTTATTTTATATTATTTTTTTGTTAATAATTAAAAACCTATACTTACCTTATCCCTTGTCTTAATAATACACTTACCTCATCAGAAAATTTTTGGGGACAAATATATCTGGATATATTTGAGAATCAAAAAAATCTAAATATATGTGAATATATTCACATAAATTCATGAATTTATTTGAATTTTTTTGATTCTCAAATATTCAGAACAAATATATCTGGATATTTTTCGATTTAAAAAAAATTCGAATAAATTTGTGAATTTATGTGAATATATTCATATATATTTGGATTTTTCGATTCTCAAATATATTCGGATATATTCACCACATTAGGAAATTTTTGGGAGCAAATATATTTGGATATTTTTTGGTTTAGAAAAAATTTAGATAAATTCACAAATTTATACAAATATATTCGCATATTGAATTTTTTCAATTCTCAAATATTCAGATATATTTGAAAATTATTTGAAAAATTCGTAAGATATTTAATGAAAAATAATACTGAAATTCTATTTTTAATTCTTTGTAGTTATGATTTTTAACAAATTTTTAAATAAATAAAGATCTATTTAGTTCTAAAAAAATCGTTAGATAAAAACATGCTAATAATTTATTTTGTTCATTTAGTTTCGCA